ATTACTCTGTTTTCAGCAATTCTTAAGTTGTGTACAATATGAGACAATCCAATCCATCCTTTTTAAGATGATAGACCTCAAATAGTGACATTCTATTTCAGTGATTCATTATTTTACATTATTTCTGTTTTGGCCTGTTAATGTACTATTTTAATAAGTAATTATGGTGTGCACCACCATGCATTCAGCTCTATGTTTGTATTCTTTTGTTAATGCCTCAAAAAATAGCCCAATGAGACTACAAGCACTTTCAAAGTCTTCACTATGTAACTCAGCTCTTACTTGATTATCACTGGCATTATTTTAACCACACCAACTTTGAATGTATAACTTCTTCCATGTATTTTAATCTCATCCTGTCTCTCACTCAAATATCACCACATGATGTCAGTAACAACTCAGAGAGTTGCACTCGCAATGCTCCTCCCTTCACAGAGGGATTGCAATTCTTTGTTTAGGTAGCAGAGAACAACGCCGCACTGAGGGGCTTTGCTTTGGATGCAGCTCATCCTAAATGAGCGATATTACCGCTGGAGAGAATTGTGTCCGATTTATTTGTTTAACAGGCTACGGGTAGTATGGAGCAAGTAATGGATTTTCGGCTAAGGATTTCTTTTTTATTCCCTGTCTTTCACGTACTGAGTGTCGCATCAGGACAGATTGTATATTCTGTAACGGAGGAATCGAGTCCGGCTACGACTGTGGGCAATTTAGCAAAGGATTTACATTTGGATGTCCACAGCTTGGAAACTCGAGGTTTTCAGATTTCAGGACCTAACAAGAGATATTTCGAAGTGGATGTAAAGACTGGAACTCTTTTGGTAAAAGACAGAATAGACCGAGAAGAGCTCTGCTCTCGGAATGTGAGGTGTTCTCTGGAAGTGGAAGCCATTGTGAACTCTCCCTTGAATCTGTATCGCTTTGAGGTTAAAATTGTGGACATAAATGACAACACACCCTCATTTCGGATACCAGAGATCGTTCTGAATGTGTCGGAGTTAGCTTCTCCTGGTGAAAAATTCGCTCTGCCAAAGGCATTTGACGCAGATGTGGGGAGTTACTCCGTAAAGGGCTACAAGCTGAGTCAAAATGAGCATTTCACGCTCGACGTGCAGAATAGTGGAGAGTCGAATGTTTTTGCTGAAATGGCGTTGAACAAACCTTTAGATCGCGAAAAGCAGCCACTTATTGAATTAACACTGACAGCTACAGATGGAGGAAAACCTCCAAAATCAGGTACGTTACTGATCACCGTTAATGTGCAAGATGTAAATGATAATATTCCCGTATTCGACAGACTCCTGTACAAAGCCACTGTGCTCGAAAACACGCCGCCAGGAGCGACTGTCATTTCTGTGCATGCTAAAGATTTAGACGAGGGTCTTAATGGTGAAATACAGTATTCTTTTATTAATCAAGACATTGATAATGATGTTGATAAATTTCACATTGACCCTATATCTGGGGAGATAACCGTAATTGGTCATTTGGATCATGAAAAAAACAGTGCAGTGGAAATCCGAGTCCAAGCGAAAGACAAAGGGCCAAATCCACGTGCATCTAACTGTAAAGTACTTGTCGAAATCACTGACATTAATGATAATTCGCCAGAAATATCAGTGACATCGCTAATAAATATGGTGAGGGAGGATGCACCCTTAGACACTATGGTTGGACTTATAACGGTGAGAGATCACGACGCCGATAAAAATGGAATTGTTCATGTCAAAATCGGTGACAGTGTACCGTTTGCTATTAAAAACACATACAAAAATCATTACTCTTTAACAGTAGCTGGAGCCCTCGATAGAGAACAATATTCTCAATATAATCTAACAATTACAGCAACTGACGAGGGGCTCCCGCCCCTCTCCAGTGCCATCGTTGTTACAGTGCACGTTTCCGATATCAATGATAATGCACCTCGATTTAAAGAGCCAATTATAAATATATTTGTTAAAGAGAATGGTCAGATTGATGCAGTAATTCACAAAATCACTGCAGATGATCCCGACGTGAACGAAAATGCTGAAGTTACGTTTTCGGTAATCAAGGATAATCATAAACGTAATACTATTGCATCACTGGTAAACATCAACTCAGAGACTGGAGACATAGTCAGCCTGCAGTCG